TCTTATTTCTTACACTGTAATTGTACAATGGGACTGATTGTACTTGTACAATATAAAAGTATTTGTAGATGTGACTCATCTGGATGGATCAATAAAGTTTGGACCTCATAAATGCAGTAAACACTTCTGCACTTTAGACACAATAGAAAAACATCGTGTGTAATACGACTGAGTATTTACATCCACACTTATGTACTTGTGTGTTTTCTTGTACTTGTACCTCTGTGAGGAGCCGGTTCTGTTCACTTCAGTTTAATTCAGTTTCTCATAAATCATCTGAGACCCGACGGCCCCGTCACAGAACCTAAATTCAGTTCTGACCCAGAACCCACTGAGCTGTGCTGTGGAGCTGCAGGGACGGATCCTGAGATCTGTCTGTGACTCTTCGTTTTCATGGACTTCAGGGAATCGTTCAGGGAATCGCTCAGGGACGTTGATGACTGGTGATAATCAGTTGATATTCATGAATCTGTGTAGTTTGGTGCGGAACCAAGTAAAAACCTGGATCTGGAGGATTAAAGTATGTTTTTATCTTGTGAACCTGGAACTAGAACCTGAGATGAGATCGATTCAGTTTGAGAACAACGTCCAGGTGAACATGAACGTGAGGGACTGAGCTCTGCTGAGGGGCGTTCTAGTTTTCTGTTGATTTGTCATTTGACCCGTTTATCAAGTCTCAACGATCCTCGTGGGTCGTCAGGAGAAACGCAGTGAAGCTGCACTTTGAGTTTGTGTCCTACCTGTTGGGCGCAGGGCTCCTCCAGCAGCACTCCCAGGCTGCGGGGGTTCTTCTGGTAGTAGGAGATGAGCTCGCCCAGCGTGGCGAAGGAGACTTTATCTGAGACGAAGTACGCACCGATGCTGGAGCGCTGGATCCTGAAGTGATAAACCTTCCCCTCACTGCGAGCTGCAGGACACAGAGGAGCACACATCTGATCTGACACCAGTTTGAACAGGACTCTGATGGAACGATTACTGTGAATGACTGTAAACATCACGGCACCTTCAGGACATTCGAGGATTGTGGGTAAATTCATAAACAAAGACGTGCAAAGTGAGGACGTGCGAGGAGACGAGGAAACGTCGTCATTAAACGTCTTTATGGTAGTTTCACAGTTCAACAGTTCAAAGCTTTCAGGGAAACAATAAACTGATGAATGAATGTGAACACGTGAACGTGTTTTTATGGCTGCGATAAGAAGAGACAGATATTTATAGATAAACTGAGCAGAGTTCAGTTCAGAGTCACAACAACAACCTGCAGATCGTTATCCAGCCTCCGACACTAACGATCTGTTCAAACCTTTATCTGCTTCATGAGATTCTACGTTATCCTGAAGAAGAAATAATGAATTAGTCTTTAATGTGACCGGGACTGAGGCACAGATCTTCATCAATCAAACAGAACACTTGGAAGCGCACTTGTTTCCTCCTGGTTCTCGTCTTCAGAGTGAAGCTCTCAGACAGAGACGGAAAACTAAAGAACGAAACCTGTTCTTGAAAATCAAGCTGCTGCTGCTGCTGCTGCGGTCTTAAAGGCCGACCTCCTTCACGGCTGCCCGAGGGCACACGGTGTCCCCTCGTGTCCTCTGCAGCAGGAGCAGGGAGGACAGAGGAGACGAGAGCAGATCGAAGTCGGGGAGATAAAGGTCGAGATGGAGGACGGGACAGATGAGGGGAGGAGCGAGGGAGGAAGAAGGAGCGAGGGAGGAAGAAGGAGCGAGGGAGGAAGAAGGAGCGAGGGAGGAAGAAGGAGCGAGGGGACGATCTCCAGTGTCGGTGGAAAAGTGCAGCGCTTCATATTTTGCAGTCACATGTTTCGCTCTGCAGCTGCAGCTCCTCTGCTGCTGCACCAGATCTGAACTCCGACATGTCACATCTGGATTTAACGAACTAATGATTCACGTCTCGGACTGTTTCACACATTCATCATTAAATTCTTTCTTTTATTTCCTGTTTGATTTCTCTGAATTGTTTTCACTTCAGTACTCTACTGTACTTATACTTCTGGTATTTTAATATTCTATGTGATGTGCGACAGCGTTTCCTCACTTCTCGTCAGATTGTGCACGTGTGGAGGCAGCTGCTGTTCTTACGATTTCATCTGTCAATCACTTTATTTGTATGAAGATTCTGTAAAAAGTCAGATCATCAAAACAAAATTAAGTAAAAGTCTTAAAATTGAAGATAAAATTAAGAAAACAAATGAATATTTGAAAATAAGTTTGGATTTTTCTTTTGATAAATAATGAGACTTTATTTAATAAGTCAAGATGCTGCAGAGAAATACTTGAAGTTTTAATATTTGTTAAACTTGTGGACAAACCTGGTTTCATTTATGTTAAACTTGTTGAAGTTACTTCATCAAATCCACAACAAAGTACAAAAAACACAGACAAGACAAGAGGGAATTTAAAAAGAAGAAAGAGAAAAGGTACAAGGGGTGAGTGGATGAGGGGGTGAGTGGATGAGTGGGTGAGGGGGTGAGGGGGTGAGGGGGTGAGGGTGGAGGTTCTTACCGGAGATCGTGTACTCGTCACTGTGACTCTCACTGATGCGAACCAGGAAGGAGCCATCTTTGTTTTGGGAAGCCAGAAGAAGCTTCTCAGCTTTCACTCGGTTTATGTTCCCATAGTACCACCTGAGGGGGGG